CTGAGACCCTCTGCCACTGTGCAGTGTTCTAGGACCTGGTGGACACCTACTAAGGATGACGTTTTGCAGGCCCTGCCCCCTCTTCTTCCTGGTGTTCAGCTCTGCTGCCACCCCTCCCTCACGGCCCAACTAGTTTTTCCTCTTCCTGAGGGCTGCCGTGGGAGCTGCCTTCCTCCCCAGGAGGATTCATGATGTGGCTGGGCCAGCATCTCTCAGAAGGGCCCAAGACATAGGTGGGGGTAGCCCCCTCCTCACGGTGACCTCACTGCCATCTATCTGCAGAGACACCCTTATCTCTCAGAGGAGGATGCCGACACAGACATGAGAGCACGGACAGAAGCTGGAAAAAGGCACCTCCCAGAGCTCTGAGCTGCCCTCCAAGAGTGGATAGTGGTGACCCCTGGGGAGATGCAGAGAGCCCAGCAGGCTGTGGCAGGGGCAGTTTCTCAGGAGACACCGCAATGACTCAGTGCTGCCCCCTACCCGATGGTGCTTAGAGAGGGGGAGAAAGGAATCAGCTAGACAGATAGAGAGGGTGAGAGTCCTCAGTACAATTCCCTCCTAACATAAAGCAGCTTCTCTTATAACAAAACAATCCCAGAGGGCATTTTTCTTTTAGCAAACAGAGATGGAAAGATTAGGCTGGAAACGCAGATAAAGAAGGCAAGTTCTAACAGAAAGGAGACAACTGTGCGATCAGCAGGTTTCACTGTCACAAAGTAGACCCCCGTGAGCAAATTTTTCTCTTTTTAAAAATATTCAGGGGTTGGGCGCGGTGGCTTACGCCTGTAATTCTGGCACTTTGGGAGGCCGAGGCAGGTGGATCACGAGGTCAAGGGATCAAGACCATCCTGGTCAACATGGTGAAACCTCATCTCTACTAAAAATACAAAAAATTAGCTGGGCATGGTGGCTCGTGCCTGTAATCCCAGCTACTCAGGAGGCTGAGGCAGGAGAATTACCTGAAACCAGGAGGCGGAGGCTGCAGTGAGCCAAGATCACACCATTTGCACTCCAGCCTGGGTAACAAGAGCGAAACTCTGTCTCAAAAAAAAAAAAAAAAAAAATATATATATATATATATATATATATATATTCAGACAAGGAGGCTTGCACGAGGGGAGTGCCTGCAGCAGCACTGATAAAAAGAGCTACCCTGAACCAGGCACATTCACCTTGGAGGGTTCTGCCAACCCGTTCTTTTTACACATGCCTCATAAGAAGTAACATGGAGTAACGTGGGGGGCAGGAACTCAGACTAAGGAGCCCGCATGCACACTAGAAAGGTTCGGGTGGGACTGTAAGAAGTTTGCACATTATGCAAATGAACAAAGTGACACACCTCATCCTTACTGGTTTTTTGCACTTTTTGTAAATGGAGCACCTCTCCTGACCAGCTGGTTTATAAAAAGCCTTGGGCATTTCACTTTAAAATGGCACCCCATTTTCCTGGGAGTCCTGTCTGTGCCAGAGAGCTTTCTTCTTTTCACTTATTAAAATTCTGCTCTAACCTCACCTTTAGAGTGTCTGCACCCTGGATTTAATTGGCCGTGAGACTAAGAACTTCGTGTGACACTCCAGATAATGAAGCTAGTGTCGGTACCTTTTGAATGTTGGCCCACCGGTGACCCTCAGAACCAAAGCACACATGGGGTAGAAACACCAGTCACCTGCCAGGGATGGCCAGGTGAGCAGAAGCAAGCAGGGACTCGGTGGGAAACCAGAATGTGTGTTCAAGGGCAGGGGCCAAGGGTTCAGCTGAGTTGGAAAATTCAGATTTTCTTTCAGAATCCGCTTCTCTTCTGAGATCTGCTTATCTCCTGGAATGTGAGACACAGCACAGAGCAACCCCCAGGCCAGCTATGACTGGAGGCTCCACCAGTATATGATGAGGTTCAGGGAAGGGCCCCGTACTAAGCCAAGAGCCTGTCATTGACCAGTTCACCCGCCCTGGCCACTAGGTGCAGGCAGAGGCCAGGGACTCCAACTTCAGGCAGAGGTGGGCAACTGGGTCACCGCTTCCTGCAATCCCAATCCAGGAATTACAGGGTCCCTGGGGAGACCTGGCAGTGGCTGAATTGAGAGATTCAGGCAGGGGGATGCCTGGTCAAAAAGTAAAAAACTGGGCATGTATGGAAACTAAGAGAGAGGGCATGGCTGTCCCTGGAGAAGTGACAGCAGGGCACAGACAAGCTGAGCCCCCAGATGCCACACCCAGATGTCAGGTACACATGGCCAAGAATCCCCTAAGCAGCCTGAGGAAGAGTTTTATTTAATCAAGAAAAAAGAGGTCCCACCTCCACTCACACAGGCACTGGTCCTTACATATCTTAGAGAACTCTTGCTGTGCCCAAGGAGGGAAAGAGGGACAATGTCTCTCTACCCTGTGAGTCATAGAGCA